GAGTTAAGTGCTTTTAAAGACAATGGCTGGCATTGCTGCAAAAAGTGTCTTGATGATGTGTTGCCAACTCCATGGAATGAATCAGTTTTCCCACTGCCACAAGAAGACACAAAGGAAACTCAGAAGGCCAAATTCAGATGTTAAAAATGGGGTCACTGTAAGATTCTGTGAAGGCCCAGGCTCAGAGCTGAACCTGCCCAAGGGCAGCTGAACTCACTGAACATCCTTAAACCAAACGGATGAGATTTTGAAAGTATGGATTAAAAAAAACCCAAAAAACAAAAAAAACCAACCCCCCCCCCAGCCCCAAACAATTTATTTCACACATGCCAAAACATAATAAAAGATTTTAGAAAGCTTTCATTTCAAAACAGCATTCTTTAAAAATAGAACTTAATCCCAAAATTAAAAAATGTAAATAAATACCCTTATACAAACATGTGTTCAGTTTTGGATTGACCATAGCCATTCTGTTTATTCATTTTATTCAAAATGCTGAATAAAAGCTATTTCAGTCTGACCTGTGCTGATACCCTTCTTTCCTCAACCCCAAGGCCTCGATCTGGCAGCTTCAAAAAAGACATTACTTGTTTGGACTGTGGCTTCATACACTCATTAAGTCATGAGGTTTTGACATCAGTTCATGAATGCAGCATTATGTGTAGTCCCATTTACTTTAAAATGTCTTCTTTTCATGAGCAAATGGAAGTGGGCAGTTAAGGGGAAATTATTTTTATTGGACAGACTTCACCCAGCAGCTCAAAAAAGAGGAAATTTTAAAGCAGATAAGAATGCCAAATATTATTCAGTCGCACTTCATCTCTAAAATTTACAAACTTTGCTCCCCACAAGTAGCAACTTCAACAACAACAAAAAGAAACTGCTGTCCTCATTAATCCTGCCATTTCACAATTAGTTCCACATACCCAGAGATCACTGCAGAGGTCGAAAGTCCAGTGTTGAGTTTCATATATACTAAGGGTACATCATTGGGCCACTGGAACACCAAACCAGTGTAGAGTATGTGCACAAAGCCACAACTCTGGCTTGTAAATACAGAACTTAGCAGTGAACAGACTTCATAATGAGTGATATTTTATGCTGAAAGACATAAATAAAAGTCAAATACAAAAATTCCCAGCAACAAGAAGTTCTGTCATCACTCCTTTCTGATTCTCTGCAAAAACAACATCAAGATTAATGTTACCTTTACCCAGTAAATAAAATATGCCTTTTCTTGGTATAACAGTGAGTCATTTTAAATTGTCTGGGTCTATTCCATATGGACAAAAAACTAAACAAGAAATTGAATTGTCATTGTGCTGTGACCACACGCAGCAGAAAAGCCTCAGTTTTTTGAACGGCTGAACTTTCAGGACAGCTGTTTACTTGTTCAGTCACTTTTTGGAAAGTTATGGAAAAGAAGGGAACACTTAGTACAAAGTGGATAGTGCCTCTGATTGCCCGATGCTGGCTGGACAGGGATTGCAATCAAATTTGGCTGATTTGCTTCAGCCAAAGCAAAGGATGAGCTCCAGAGCAGCCCTTCCTGAGCCAAAACTCATCAAGGCATGGCCCAATTCCCTACCATGTTGGCTGCATGAGTAAGATCCCCTCGTCCCTACTGGGTATTTTCTCATTACACAGCTGAAATACTACGGATTTACCACATGCATGGTACTGGATGTAGGAAAGCCCAAGCTCCCACAGAGTTCTTACACTTCCATGTAGGACTCCACTGAGATCAGCACTAAGGATGTGCCTATCCAGCAGGAATATGGGACAGATTCTGCTTCCCCAAGGGCAGGGTCCCCTCCTGGGCTCCTACACACAGAGGTGGAGCAAGGCTGCTGCTGTCACCCTCGGGAAGTGCAGCCCTCAGCCTCCAGAGCCTCCCTGCAGGGCAGGCACAGACGTACCAGCCTGCAGACACCTTCCTGCTGCTCCCTGCTGCAATCACCACCCTCCCTCTGGGCACATTTAAGGAGTTAAGTTGTGCCCTGCTGTCACACAGTGCAGGGCTGTCCTACCCCTGGTGTGAATCCCAGTGCAATTCCAATGGGAAATAAGACACCCTCTCCCAGCTGACTGTCCCAGCACTGGAACAGAGCCCTGCAGAGCATCAAAGCTCACCCTTTGGCTCTTTCTGTCTTTGGCAACAGACCATAAGGATCAGTATCCCATGTACACAGGCTGATGGCAAAGGAAAGAGCCTCTCCAATAGCAGCCCTGGGAGAGAGGAATGAAATTTCTTATCTAGTGTATGAACAAGTTAGTTTGGGGGCTACTGTAAATTCCAGCAGTAGCTGCAGTTTGGCTCCTAGCCCTGCACCAATTTAGCAGCATTCATCTCAAACCTTGTGGCACAGCATTAAAAGTGCAATTCCAAATACATGTTTCCTGGGATGGTACCGCTTCTGAGTTCAATCAAATACATCTCTGCTATCTGCTGCCCAAATTCCTAAACCCAGCTTGAACTCCAGAGGCTACTTAGGGCAAATTCAATGTACTTTCAACTGCACCAAAGGAACAGAGGGCTGGATGCTGCCAAGAGAAAGTCCCAGACTATAAATGAACTATTTGTCAGAATAACAATACACATTCAATAAATACACTACTTCTTTCCTCCTCCAAGCCAGGTGGAAGTTTAGTATGTTTACACTTGACACTGCAGCACCTTCACCTCCCAGAGAATGGAAAAACTGCCATACAATCCTGAATGCATGCAGCTCCTGCTGCCATCCCAGTTAGGTAACATAAATGTAGCATCTCTGCTACCATTAGAAGAAGAGGTCTCACTCTGTACCTGCTCCCTCTGGGCCAGCACAAGGAGCTGTACAAGATTTGACCCATTTGCAAGCCAGTACAGACAGCAGCATCAGATGTCTGTGTAACCAAAGCACTGGATTTTCTTTCTGCTGCATCAACAGTAGGTCTGCACAGAGGATGGACGATGCCTGCCACCTAAACCTTTGTGTCTGGGGCAGAAAGTCTGAGCTCAGTAGTACTATCCTTACTGCTGTGTCTCGCCTGTTCACTGCAGGGGCAGGGGGAAGGATTCTAACTGGCATCACAAAACCCAGAAAGACAGAGAAAAGAAGAAAACACAGAGAGGAAACACGGCCAACATTTGTGGGACATGAAGAAGGGAAAATACATGAACAACAACTCCAACATAATCGCCAAACTGAGAAGCAAGATTCACAAACATTTTGGTCCATGTTTGGTTCCACTTTTGGATGATGTTTAACTAGACATGGTTAATTATCCACCAGGCTTGCATTCATGACTTGAACTAGCCACTCTTTTCAGTAAATGAGTTTTGCTTCACTGTATGAAAACTCTCTTGATCCCCTTGGGGGTAATTCTATTTTTCAGGAGACAGGTGATTTCTTGATCAAATCCTCTCTTCTGTGTTATTTACTTTTCAGGGCAGGAAGTGGATAGCATGGTATATACCATGACAGTTGCACTGGGAGATTCGTATTGGCACAGATACTACCTCTGGAATTCTCAGAGAAACCCATTAAAAAAAAAAAACAACCAAACTTGTCAAGGGCCACTTCCAAGAAGGAATGATGAAGCCTTGCCCAAGGTTTTAGCCGAAACAGCCCCAGAGAGAGTTGCTAGAACTGGCAGAACAGCATGGATAGAAACAATTCTCCCCTTGGGTGTGGTTTTGCAGTATTACATTATTCCTTCATCAGTCACACTACCACACTTTGGGGACTTTTTATATGACCTTTAACAAAAGGTCATATATATGCTCTTGAAATATTAAGCACATATGAATCAATTTTGGCCTGGGAGTCAAGTTTCCTAACTTCAGCCACACCAAAATTTAGAAGCCAGAATTCTCTGCAAAGAAGGAAGACAGGCATTTCCAGTGGGAATCTCTTTCTATATTAATCCTAGGGTGAACTGAGTCAGCCTTTGGAGAGCTCTCTCTGTATTGACTGCAGTGTTCTTGCTGATCAGAACAAGACAACCAACTCTGAGCTGACTAAAGCCAGATAAGATGAACAACACTATTGATGCCCTCCTGTTCAAAAACATATTTTCTCTTTATATTTACTGCTCACCCCAGTGTTCTCTTACTTCCCCTAGTCAAAATTAACAAAAAACCCTGAAAAGGTTTTTCTCAAGTTTAATATGATTTAGTGCTATATGCTTGTGTTCTACTTTTTTACTATCTCAAGACCTAGCACTGTAAACACATCAGCACTGGAGCAGCTTTACTCAGAAAAACAGTATCCCTATTTACTGGGATAAATCATGTGCCTTTCACTATATTCTTTCAAGAAGATATTCTCAAAAGAATTATTTCAAGACTGCAATCTAAAATATTAAAAAGAAGAACAGGACAAACATAGCAAAAGAGTTTGTCCACCCCTGCACTAGTGACAGGGAATGATTAATACAGTACCAGTAGCTGGCCACTTTAAGGAGGTGAGAAGGCTGGGGGTCCTATGTGATTTTTTTTCCTTGTAAATAGATGGGAAATTTTCTCATCCCTTTTGTTTTTCACTCACACTTACCACTTGGAGGTGAGCACTTCTGGACTGAGGGATGTGAAATTACTTGTTGGTGTGCATCTCTCAAGTGTGAGTTCACAGTGGTTTAAAAGAACACCGCTTGGGTATGCAACCAACCATCGTATGGTTTTGGGTTATATTCCTACTGTTTCCCACCTAAAACCAAAATGCACAATGAATTCACTCAAAAGTCAGTCCCAAACACAGGAAATTTTGTGCAAATCTTTGTAAGACTAGCCTGAGTTCGGCTGTATAATAAACCCCATTATCATTACTGGGTCGTGCCACCTGCCATCCATGAAGGTTTTCCATCACCCATTTCATTCGGAAAACCCATAACACTGACACTTACCAGGAGCTCACAGAAGAGCCTCCCTCCCCAAATACCCAGGCATATGCACTGTGGTTGAGGACTGCTTTGTTTTAAAAGCCACACATTTTCCTATTTAATTGTGCTTTAAAAAAAAAAAACAAAAAAAATCAAAACCAAACAAAGCAAAAAACAACTACTAAACCAACACAGAGAAGCTCTTAACAGGCTGTATGAAAAGTGAACTGCCAAGATTTTCTGAATCCTGCAACACTTTCACATCAAGTCCTGTTATTCTGTGTGTTGGTTGGAGGTGTAGTAATACAACATGGTGGTGTCAGCTGTCGTGGTAGGAAACATTCATGTCAGACACTACAGAAAATTTAACGACATGACAGTACCTTCACAGCCCTCTGGTAGGTAAGGAAAATCTAAAAGGATCTTCCCAACCTTTCACAGTAAACACAATTGGATAATCTAAAGCACCTGCAAGCAGGGGATGAGTCCATGATATATCTTTGCAATCAGCCAGCTAATACTGTTATTAAAACAGTTAAGTTTATCAGCTCTTACGTCTCTTGTCTGTTCTGGGCATTTCGAAGGACCACATCAGTTTGGCATTTAGCTGCCAACAGATTTAATTGATCCAGACACTGTATTTCCTTCTCCTGTAATCCTCAGCTAAGACACCCAAGCCCTTCACAGGGGCCGAATTACCATCTCCTTCAAGAGCTGTCTGGTTCCTATTCATTCCTAGGAGCTCAGAGGAGCTAGCAGTACAGAGACATCCTGCTCTTCCGCATGGCTTCGCTGATCAAGTACGCCGGGCTCAGTTCTGGCTCCTCAGTCATGATTGAAATGTTCTGCCACTCTCCCAGCTGGTTTGACTTTTTAATGGTGTCCACCACGCACAGGGCGTACAGACAGTCGTCAAAAGTGGCAGCCATCGTAAGGGGCCTCCCGTCCCAGGTCCTCCTGTCGTCCTGGTCCTCAAAGGCCTGCCGGACAGCCTGGACCATCTTAATGGTGCCCCGCAGGTAGGGGGATGGGATGTCGCTGAAGGCTTTCTCCGGAAGCAAGGAGTTGCTGACCGGCGTGGAGTCCTTCAGCAGGAGCTCCCGCTGAGGAGAGCTGTTGCTCTGCCCGTAGAGGTCAGTGCCTATCACAGTGAGCCGTCCCGCCGAGCCCACCACGATGATGTCCTGTTTGAACTCCCCCGGGATGTTGAAGTTGAGCGTCACGGTGCAGCACACGCCCCCTTCCAGGACCATCTGAAAGGTGCAGAAGTCATCGCTGGTGATCTGCCGGATGCCCTTGATGTGGTCCGTCTGCTTCACAAAGGTCTTGAGCAACCCGTGCACCTTCACGGCCTTCTGGCTGGTGAGGAAGGTCAGCAGGTCGATGATGTAGGTGCCCACCGAGTGCAAGCCCCCGCCTCCCATCAGGTCATCGCAGCTCCAGTTGTACTTCTTGCCCAGCAGGCTCCCGCTGTGCACCTGCACCTCGCACACCAGCAGCTCCCCCACGTAGCCCTCCTGGATCAGCTGCTTCATCTTCACGAAAGCAGGCAGGAAGCGCAGAACGTTCCCCATGATGCTCATGAGCTTGGGGTAGTAATGAGCCGCAGTCATCATCCTAAAGGCATCCAGGGGAGTCGCCGTTCGGTCACAGATGACGTTCTTCCCAATGCCTGAAATGGTGAGAAAAAAAAATCATCAATAAAGTTTTATCAATGGAGTAAGCTGAAAGCCTCAAGGCTATTCTTAAAGACTAAGCCAAGCAGAAAGACCCTAAAAGAGTAACACCATATTGAAATGTTTGCAAGGCACAAAGACCCACTCTGGCATGCTTCCAAAATACATGTAAGAATTTTTTAAGCACCACAGTGAAAATGTGATCCTTTTCGTTTTCAAAAAGCATTCCTGTCTAAAAAGAGCTCAAAGGTGAGAGCCTGAACAGAAAAAAGTAAGCTCCCTTCTGGGAGCAGGTATGAAACCAATCACCCACCTCAGCCATCTCACAGACATCTCTTCTGTGACAAGCTGCCCATGCAGGGGTTTCTGTGAGCTGAATCTGAGGTTCAGACTCAAATCCCTGAAGGGTATGAATGACACAAGTGCATGTACTCAGTAACTTAACACAGGTACACTGAAAAGCCTGGCTTTGTCTTCTCAGTACTCTTGTCTCTCCCTCTTTCCTGCTCAGACTGTTTTAAGAGGCTCTGAGGAGAGAAGTACTGGGCTTGCTGCTTAATTTAAAATGAAGAAATTGCTTCTCACTCCTAAAATGCCCCACTATTCTGACAATGGCACTCAAGTGTTTTTTGAAGCAGTTCTGCTGAAATGTCAGCAGTGCATCCATGGTGCCAAGGGAGAGTCAGGATTGCTCTAAAACAGGTCAAATGTAGCTGTGACAATCTGTTCCCTCATGGAATTGTCCATATGGCACACTGTTTACTGAAGCTTGCATGACAGTCCCCTTTTATCTGGTCATCAAGGTGTGCAACTGGATGCAGTGAAGGCTAAATAATGGGCTTATTACTGATTTCGCCTCCTCAAATACTTCCATTCTGTACCCACACACATGTATAGTGACAGAATCTCCAGTTTCCTTCTTAGTTGCATACAGAGACTTTTTTATGCTTAATGATCAATATTAGGTAAGCTGTGGAACACTTTGGATATAAACTATGACACTAAATATGACCTTTACCTGAGAGTCTTGGGCTACGGCTGGGCCTGGCACTTAAAAGAGCTGAATTTGGGTCCTTGCTGATGGAGTCTAGATGAATAAATTTACTTGCTAAATCACATTGTATTTTCATTCCTGTTCCCTTCAGGTAGTTTAAAAAAAAAATCTCTGTTTCTTTTAAGAGCTGTTCAGAGTATAAAATTTTACATGTTTTGGAGCTGTTTGGATGAAGTCATGTAAGTACAGACAGATGGCAGGGATCTATCTGAGCCCACTTACATGAATATTTAACAGTCTGACTGGAAGAAGAAGGGGGTCACAGTCCAAACATTCAAAAACCAGCTTATCCACACTGCCTATTCCCAGTCTTTGTCTGCTGCTATTTGAGTAGCTGAAACTGGAGGGAGGGAGAGCTGTCATTGCTGAAGTGGCAGTCACATCCAGTTAACAGACAAGAAGGGAAAGATCTTTCTTCAACTTGCTCCTATTTACCTTCTCCTTAATCAGATAAGTAGAGAAATACTCATTTTTCCTCTTAAATTAGCCAAGAATCTTCTATTCAGTGCCCATGGTCTTCTCTTCTTGCTTTTCTCTCTCATCTTTACAGATGGCTATTGGTGACCGAGTTGACATTTTCAATAATATCAACTAATAGCACCTCTTTTCCTGCCCCTGAATAATTTTTTGCTGCATCTGTTTGATACTGGAGAAAGCATTCATCCACCTGCCCTATATCCTCTAACTGGTAGCTCCAGCTATGCCACTTGATACAAATCACTAATGTAATAATCCTTGAGTTACACGGACTCTTTGCAGAGAGATTTCAGTCCGGCAAATTAGTTAGCAAAATAAGGGAAATCTTAGACAAAACATCCCTAGAGTCAAACCTTCCTGATATAGCAATTTTCCCCCAAAGAACCAATATATATTACTCATTATCTGACGTGTTCACCACTGATCCACAAAAGCATCACGTTCTGCTCCAGTTCAGCTTGCATCATTCTGCCTCACAGACGCCTGCCACATTTTATCTGAGCTCTGTCCAGGCACTGTGTCTCAAGATATGCAGCTCCACACATGTGCTTGCTAGGAAAAGGATTTGTGTTCATGAGGAATTGCAGCCTGGGGACAATCTTTTGCTGAGTGTTCCATGCCATGCATGGTCGGGGTTAGTCCTTTGCCACGTGGGGCAAGGAATACTTGGGATTGTCAACATCTGAGTATGAAATTATGATTATTAATATGAAAGAGAAGACTGTGGATTTTTACATTCCATACATTCGAGAAAAAATTACCAGTGGGATCAGTGTAAGTCAGGCATGTGTGCAGAGGAAAGGGAAAAGCCCTAAATATTTATATGGCGACAGGGAGAAATTGAAGCCTTAAAATTACTCCTTCCACCATTTCAACCTTTTTGGAAAGGTTGAAACCTTGTAATTTCAGCAAATCCAAAATGCAAATGTTCTGAGAGACTTTCTGTCTCTGTGCATATGCTGATAATATGTGCTATTCTCTCATCCCTGTTAGGGATTTAAACAGCTTTTTGCTTGCTGCCCGGAAAGCTTTTATATGCTATTAAAGCTTGTGCAGTTCTTTCAGCATAACACTGCTCAGCACTTGAGTCTGTGTGCACTACAGATCTTTGTCTCCTCCATGGCTGCAAATCTGCAAGCAGCCACATTAGCTTTCTGGAAGTAGGGACAGAACATAAAAGGTTTGCTTAATTTAATTTAGAGAAATCCTCTGGTGTGTTTATGCCACCAGAATGAGAAACAGGCAGATCAAAACACCATTTTTCTGCTCTCTTCCCTCCGCTTCCTTCTCTAAAGGAGAAGGAAGAAAAGGCACCTTCCCTTTGAGCCATTCTCTATAGCAGCATCAGGCAGAACAGAGAGCAGAGTGCAAGGAAAATCTCCCTTCCCAACACCAAATCTCATGGTATGGCGTGCTCTGACTGCAGGTGCCGCAGGGGGCTTCTCTGGGAACTGACCCCCTTCTTCTCTAGTCTGGGCCTGTGGTCTAATCCTCCCCACTTCTGGACAAGACTCTAGGGAAGGATGAATTGTTACTGTTTGTCATTCTACCAGCGTGTTTTGCTGTTTCACGTGTCTTTGAAAATTGCAGCACAACAGACAGCAAAAACTTCATTAATTACATAAAAGCAGGGAAATGCAGCCAGCTTGTTTCAGCAAGAAAGTGGAATATATCTGTCCATGCTGATAAGCAACACAGTTGGATAAATCTCATCCTATGAAAGAATACACACCCCTTCCACCCGCATCAAGAAATCTGGTATACAGTGCTACAATTCACAACCAGGCAACTAATGAGCACTGGTTTCTTGACTTCTCAGGTAAAATGACAAACATTTTAAATACATGTCAATCTTTTGAGGGCTCCACACAGGGTTCACTCCAGCCTCCCAGCTTGGCTCTGCTCTAGAGAGTGGTGCCAGCATTGGGGAAGACTCACTCTTGGCCAGCCCAAGTCCAAAGCTGAAGGTGAGGAACACGTCTCCTAGCAAGGCTCGTAAAGTGCATCCCCCAAGCCAAACCTTAACAACTTAGGTACTAGTCTCTCTTTTTAAAAGAAGATTATTGAAGAACACTCTTCTTCTCTGAAGAAGCAGATGTCTGACCAACTCTATAGAAGCAGCTGAGCAATTAGAAAAAAAATTGTCTGTGCTACCATTCAAGTGAAGATCTCTCTAGAGATCTTTATGTTGGAAAGTCAAATCATAACCATGCTCTAATGGCTTGTCACCCACCTAACAGTATTTAATTCCGTCAGGAAGCCATGTGATTTATTTGCAATCCTCAGTCTTCATTTTAAAAAAGGGAAGTCCTTGTGAATTGGAGATAAGCCCAGAAGTGAGAGGCGAGTAGATACAGTCCAGGGTATGTACATTTTTTTCCATGTAAGTGCAGGGAAGGAGTGAGGAGCTACAGTAAGAATTTAACTACTGACTCTGCAGTTCCTGGAGTTTGCATCTCTTCATTCTACAGACAAAGCTCCTTTCAAGCTCCTTGGCTACCAGCAGCCCAAGTTTCTTTGTCCTGTATCATCCCTGTGCTGCACAGCTGAAAACGAGCAGAACTCACAGCACAGGGAAGGCAGAATGGCTGTAACCAGCACAGGCATCCTCAATTCTGAAACCTTCAACATCAGCTTTTTCTCCCCATCTGCTCTGATTGTTTCAAACAAGGAAACAAATATTTTCACATTAAAAAACTCCAGCTAATTTAAAAAACAAGCCTCTGTCTCTGAACTGAAGTAAGACTAGTCCTCTATATGTTCTGCTTAAAACATGAGGTCCCAATACAATATTTTCTCTTCTTCCTATTCACAAGAAAATAAAAAAGGGCTCTATTTGGAGTCTGGGCATATAATCAAATCCTTCACTGGCACTGGCAGAAAGATTCATTAGTTAGCAATTGCTACCTATTGCTCTTTGTCAGGATGGGGGAGTGAGAGAGAGAGAGAGAAATAAAAAATAAGGTTTTGGTGAACTGAGCTAAATTTGTCACCAGACAAAAAAAAAAAAAAAACAACAAAAAACAAACTATAAAATCTTTCTAAAAGCAAAGAGGAACTGTCAACATTCAAAGGACAGTCTGAGGGTTTCAGAAAATACTGGAGTGGTGAAAAGAGCACACGTACCAGGTTATTTCAAATGGATGACTTCAACTTACTATAGTTTGTTTTTAAAACACTTATTATTATAGTATGTTTTTTTAAACACTTTTTTTTAAAACACTTTTTTAAAGTGTTTTAAAACACTTTTTTTTAAAAAAAGAAACTAATACAAAACTATATTCCAAATGGTAACAATCCACTTCATCATTAATAAGCATACAATAAATAAATACAGGCAAGATTTTCTTCTCAGATTTTCACCATTGCAGCTGCGCTTGCTGCCTTTGGATCCTATGCACAATCAGAGGAAGACCTTTCCCTGGGAGTTTATCAAAAACCATGGTCAAAATAAATGGCCTAAAT